TTTGACGTAGATTGATTGAATAAAAAATAATGAAACAATATGGTCTGAGGGTCATATATCTTCGAATATTAGAAAGTTTCATCCACCATCGTGTTGTTGAACACTATTTGCAATTTAATTTTAATGCGGTGACTTGTCGGTTACGAGCAGAAGGTCATATCAGACTTCTATATTTTATAATACTATCAACAGATATCTGGATAGAGATACTTCGTCACATCAGGCTATGATAAAGTATATCATCATCTCACAGAATTCTATTCGAACACCGCATCGAAATTCTTTTCACCTTTTTTTTCTTCTTCCTCTTTTTTGGTCCCTTTTAGCTCTCCCTTTACCCTTTTCCTTCCTTCTCTCTCTTTTTTTTTAGCGGGGGCGGGGGGAGGCAAAGGCATTTTGCCCCACCCCCATCCGAAACATGTTGGCGGGAAAATTGCAACTGATATCCGCCTTCTTTTCTTTACTTCTTCGTCAATTTTCCTTCCCTTTATCTCCTCTTTTCCTTTTTTCTTTCCATTTCCTTCCTTCCTTCTCTCTTATTTTGTTTTATTGGGGGGAGGCAACAGCCTGGGAGGCAAGGCCCTTTCGCCCCCCGCCCCTCCCCCCCCCGATCTCCTTCTTCCCCCTTTTCTTTCTTCTTCCTCTTCTTTCTTTCCCTTCTCTCCTCTTTCCCTTTCCCTTCTTTTCCTTCTCTCTCTCTCTCTCTCTCTCTCTCTCTCTCTCTTTTGCGGAAGGGGGGGGGGGGGGCAAGGCCCGCTCACTCCCGCTGGATCCGCGCCTGCATCTACCTTATATCTACAAACGTTAGACCCTAATAATGGATCTAGAAGATTTATCGACCTGGTCTCAGTGACGGGTAAACTTTTTTTTTCCTCAATTACCTAGTCTATATATAACCATGAAAACCGTCTAATTTTACTTTAGATTTTCAAACAGTAACAGTTACGGCCTAAATTAGACCTAAGGCCAAGGGCTGTACTCTACATTTTAACGACAAATTAACGTTAACGTTAGACTTAACTTAAACTGTTGTTTCTCTGTGATACAAGTGGGAAAGGAACACTTTTTTCAACAATAAATAAATAAATGATCCCCCCATTTGTTTTCCTTCTTTTTTCCCCCCCCCCCCCCCCCCCCACCCTGAATCCGCCACTGATCATGGGGATAAAATTATACAGCTATGTAACAGGTAAATTTCTAAGAGGAAAAATGCCGACTTAAATAAATGATAATGATAAAATACCAAGGAATTTAGGAGTTTCATGGGTACCAATTCAATGGAAATTTGTATTAAAATAAGAGCCCCCGTCAGCACTAAAAGAGTCCCCGTGAGAAGGCTCACGGGGCTCTTTTTTTTTTGGAAGAGCCCCCGTGGACAAAAAATTAATTTGAGCCCTGGAAGTATGAAATTGTCCCAACATGGAATCCAGTGTACGGGCAATGGCAATTGAATATCTTTTTGTTATTATATATGGTACTCAACGGCAAAGACAAAGTTTTCCTAGTCTGAGCATAAAATAAAGATTCAACACTTCCAACTCATTTGCCATATTATCTGCTACATTGTTAGTTATTTAATTTGTTTGGTTGTGTTCCTTTACTTCTCTCTCGTGCCCCCTCTCTTTCTCTTGGACTAAGATAACTCCTTCCACTCTTCTTATTCATGTCACATCGGAAAAGACAAAATTCAGAAGCAACGTACATTCTGCTTTTCCATGCGATCTTGAGTCTGAAACTCAGTGTCTCCGGATTGGGTTGGGGCGTCAATCAATGACGCTTTCTCCGGAGTCTGAATTTCTGCATCTCCACGTGGAGTCGGGGGTTCAGCCTCGGTCTTCTGAGTGCGATCCTCCGTTGGGACCGTATCAGACTGAGTATGTTCTTCCACAGGCTCATAAGTGAGAGTTTCTGTGTTGAGTCCAGTCTGAGCTTGGCAGTCTCCGCCTTGAGTAGGGGGCTCAGTCTTGAGCTGAATGGGGACCACACCTGGATCCATATCAAACTGAGTCTGCTCGTCCACAGGCTTGTGAGTGAGAGTCTCTGTGTTGAGTCCATTCTGAGTTTGCCAGTCTCCGTTTGGAGTAAGGATATCAGCCTCGATCTTTTGAGTGAGATTAACTGAAATCTCCATGGTAGACATTTTGGTACATCCACAAGCTCAAAAATGTGAGTCTCTGTGAGTAAGGATTGTTCTAAAGTCTGGGTATTTGAATCTCCCGCTCAGAGCAGGAATCTCGCTCAGTTATTCCCTGGAATGATAACCGAAGTTCCCAACTTCTGAAATCAAATATAAATTATAATGATTACTGTGATTATGGAAGTTTTAAAGATACAATATGCTAAGGGTGTTTGAATGTCTAGCATTAGTTTCGAGTGTTTGAAATTGTAAATGACTACAAAGGATATACATTCTGCAGACTTTGATTGTGCAAGGACTTCAAGTTTCAACAGAAAATGTAATCAAATTAAACATATTTCATGTTTGAAATTATCCTGATAATCGTTTACCTGAACAAATATTAAGGTTTCCGACAGACAGACGCTAGTATACAGATGAATTAGATTTCTCAGACACTTGCAGGCGTGGAATTTGTGGAAATCCTCGTAAAATCTCCGAAATTTGCAATGAGCTTGCTCCCAATCGAAGAGATAAGATAAGAATGAGCGTTTGTTGATGCGAAGCTAGCTTACTACATTATGCGCATGCGCGATCACCATGACATAAACTTTCGACCAATCGCGCACAAGGATAGGCCAGTTATATGAATATTCATATGTGTGTAAATGCGCAGAGCTCTTGACGCAACAATGGCCTACGCGCAATATATTGGAGGTTTGGACTTACGCAACAATCAATAGTCATGCGTCATAATGTATTCAAGACAGGGGTCGCTATTTGTGTACAAAATTAATTTGTAAAAACCCACGGATATGAATATACTGGATATGTGCCAATGAAAGTTATGTATTAATCAGGATCTTTCTTAAATTCATGCAGTACTATCACTACTTTATGTAAGCTCTGTGGATATATGCGGTCAATTTTAAAGAGTTAGGAGAGTTGTACCAACTCCTTGTTTTAACCAACTGACTACAAAATTGTATTTGTTATTGAGCTAGCGAGTTGTGCTTGTTGTTAAATCAAAACGTTCACGTGTGTGAAAATTTCGTACATTTTTTTTTTACAATGGGAGTGCTATAAAAGAAATAGCAATGATTTTTCGCAAGTTCATGGTATTGTTCTTTGTTTTAAATATTTCCTCTCTATTCTCTTTTTCGGTCTATGATCATCCATCTTTCTGTTCATATTTTTCCATTTACCACACTTTACCCCAATTTGTCTCTCCTTAATGTTCTCAATGTTTATCTCTGACTCTGTCTCTCTATGTCTGCCCGCTCCCTCTCTTCTATATTTCTCTCTTCTCCATTTGCCTTTCTATCCATCTCTTTCATTCTCTCTCTCTCTCTCTCTCTCTGTGTCTCTCTCTCTCTCATGCTACCTTTTTATCAAATCTCTCCTCCTCTTTCTAACGCCATTCTCTTTCTCTCATTCTTTCTCTCTTGTTCTTCTTTCCTTCCTATAATTTCCCTTGCTCTATCTCTCTTTCTCTCTGGAGCCCTATAGTGGCTCTTCCCAAAACGTCTGTCCGCCGTGTCTGAGCTTTAAATTTATAAGTTTTTGTTTTTCTTTTTTAATTCCAAAGGATACTTTTTAACCCATTAACTTCAGAATTCTCTAATACAGGGATCAATCGGTTCCTGTAGGCAATCATATGGAAAGAATGGGATCGCCCGGTCGGACAGAAAACATATTCTACAAGTATCAATCAAAGCCTTTAAAGCCATCTCGATTCAACACGAATTATTAAATACTACAAGTATTATCTTGACCAACACTGTATAATAAATTTAAGAGGCATACTAGTTCATCTGATGAAAGATCTTTTAATAAGAAGATAGAAAATGCAGATAAAAATCGAAATTATGAATAAAGGAAACACAGTTATACCATGCGTGAATATCACATTTAATGACATTAATTTTATTCCAAATTAGCAGTTTGTGGCCTATTCTGTTAAAGTCTGCTGAGTAAGTTAAAGCTACGGTCACGAAGGTTCGTACGATCGATTATTTCGTACGAATTTTCCTGTTTTTCCATTCTCTTCCCGAATTTCCATTGTCTGAAAATCGTTCGTACGGCGTTCGTAGCAGTTCGTAATGGCATTTGTGACCGAGGCTTTAGGTGAATGCCCTGCATACGTGGTTTAGTGGATAAATCACCGATTCATTGGACTGCGGACATACGGTTCGATTCCCAGCCACTTATTCCCTCGGTAAGATATTAATCTACGTTTACCACTCTTAACCCAGGTGTAGGTAAGAAGGAAAAAGAATAATTCATGCATATTAACAGCGTTCTTTGGGATGAGTACGATATAGTTATCAATCGTAGTTTTGTGACATCATCACTGAGTATACAGTAAACAATTTATATACATTACTACTTAAGAGAAAGTTAATGATCAAGAAATATCACATTACAGAGTTATGAAGAATTTACACAAAATAGCACAATTTTCCCCAACATTCAACTTTATTTTTAACGTAAACTTGACCTCTTGACAAGAGCTTAAGCTTATACGATGTAAAGAATGAAAGTGTACATTTTACAGAAAGAACTATACATTAAAAAAAAAAGATTTGATAATCTTTCCCAGCTGAGCTAAATCAGACAGACACAACCCACCATTAATGTCCAGTATTCATTGCAGTGGCAATTCATGATACAGGAAATAATGGTATTTTACATGAAATGTTGTTTCAGTCTGTTCACCTAACTTTGCCCCAACACAGTTTGCCCGACGGTTCACCACATTTTGCCCGTTGCACACATGAGATGATCGACCTTGTCATATACCCGTTATATTCATTTATATTTATATCATTCCCTCTGGCTCTTCAAATGTTCCTCAAGTTTACCCCCCCCCCCCCCCAAAAATACAAAAAAATCATTACAAACTTGTTAATTTTTGTTTTATTGCAATACAAAGAAAGACACGAGGAGAGTAACCATCAGAGTTAAAATGGACATCTTCGAAAGAGTGTCGGCTCGACTGACGCCCGGGTAGAGGCCGTTCGTCCCGCAGAGCGCATCGAACCGACAACCATTCGAAGACATCTCGAGGTGCGAAACAACGTCGTCGTACGGGCAGAAGAATTCCCCGCAGGTGCCGAGCTTGATCGGGAGTTCGTTGTGGAGGACGAGCACGCGGTACTGGTCGCTGGGGCACTGAAGGACGTTGAAGCTGACGTGACCGGTCATGGGCGAGATACGGCCGCTGCGAAAGGCGCGGTTGACGCTGACGTCGTAGTTGTTGGCGAGTAGTTTGGGAGTGTCCTTGTAGAGACCGAGTATTGTCAGGAACGGCTGGAGAGTTGACGAATGGCCGAACTTGAAACTTCCTCTGCGGGTGCTGCATGACAAGCAAAGGAATGAACAAGCAGTTACAGACTTTGAAAGATAAAGTGGGCGATTACAAAAATAAAGCGCTTTTGAAACAGACTTTTGTCTATGAATAATGAAATAGCGCTATACTTGATCAATATAAACAATAAACATTGCACATTGTATGAGTTCATGATATACTTTACCATTATGTCAACCATACTAACTATAATAAAGTTTTGAAATATAACGGCAGCTGTTAGATATTACTATTATCCTTGAAATAAGATGATGACGAAACTTTACGTAAGAAGTGTTGATAAAGTTCAAATTCTAGATTTTTCAAAACTTTTCTAGAATTTTGAAGGTATTTCGGGCCTTACTTGTTGGCTGCGCAATAATAAGAAGGATATAAAAAGTTAAGATAATAAACATTTTGTTTGGTAAGAATATTCTACCAGCGAGGAAGAGAATTTTGATTATTGGGGAGGGGCTCTCTCAAGGTGGAGAGTGTACCAACATATCAGTATAGGTTGAAAGCTCACCCATTTTTCTTCACAGTCGTCATATACTCGACGACATCGTCGACGAGTGGGCACGCCATTTGGTAATTGATGTCGTAGCCATAACCTTCTTTCCAGTATTGCTTGAGATCGAGCCAATATTCCACGGCCAAGGACTCGTTTCTTAAGAAGAGGTTACACCAGGGGGAAGAACCGTAGTACGCGCTCTCGTAGCCGCACATGTGATGCATCACTTCAAGGTCGTCTGTAAGATAGATTGCAAATGATAAAATTAGATTTGGATCGGCAACCAGTTGCGAACTGGATAAAAATGCTTTATCAGGGATGCATCAAGGATTGTTAGAAAGGGTTTCGACATTTTTGTTTTTGTTTTGTTCGTTTATGTCTTTTAATTGTTTAATAGTATTTTACTTCTCCCTCAAATTTGATTTTTCAGGAAATGACAAACGATTCCCCCACATGAGTTTCCTCATAATCATAACAAGCGATCGTTCGAATCCCTGGACCATGCACCTATATTATGCACTGTATAAATAGTGGGTAAAAATTGCCGACATTTCTCCTCCGGTGACAATATTATTCTGTGGTTATTTTGTAAATAGGGTATTGAGTCTGTGGCGTAGCGTGTATGCACCAATTAAGGGGGGGGGCACTAAAACTGGCACGATTTTTTTTTTTTTTTTGGGGGGGGGTAGAGTACACTGCATGGTATTGCTAAGAAAATGAAATGCAAATTTTCCAAGGTTACTGAAGAGGAGGATGATGCGGAAGGTGGTCCAGGGGTCTTCCTTTCTCGTCCATTTCCCCTCCTCCCTTTCCCTTTCTTTCTTTTCTCAAGTTTCCTTTCATTTTATCGTCTGATCATTCGATTGGCGCCTTGTGCCTCCCGCCCCGTGCTCACCTGTAGCTACGCCGTTTTTAGGATCAGGGTTGCAATTGGGATTTAGGCTAAGGCTACGGTCAGGTTTAGTTTTAGAAATAGGGTTAGGGTTAGGAAATTTGTTGGGTCTAGAGTTGTAGCTATAGGAATTATGTTAATGTAAGGAAGTGACCGAGGAGCCGTGTGTCGTACAAAGGTAACGCCCCCTCCAATCCCTTTATCTCACATTATCTCTTTGTTGAATTTAACAGAATCAGACCACTGAAGATAGCAACAAAGTGTGACTCTTATGTGAAACCCCACGTAAGAGCCATCCGTCTGCGTTGTCTTTCAAAGTTTGCACTTTGGAGATAACGTATCTTCTCTAAGGGGACAATAAGACATATTTTAAGAATACTGTTTGATTAGAGGTACATAAAATCAATGTTAAAGTGAAAATTAATGTGCACTTTAAGTGACTTTTAATTAGCAGGGTGATCAGTTATTGTAACAAGTTCAGATTCGCTCACGAATTTATTATTGCGCTGTTATAAAATGCAGTTGAGTTTAAAGGCCCACTGCACTACTTGTAGCTACTTGCACCCTCCATATAACAAACAATGCCTAATCGGTGACCATTGGTCCCCCATGATCCTCTTTTTCTTATGTTAACTGAGAGCTGAGTTGATGAGATAACCACCTGTCCAGTGACCTTGCAGGGCGGTCTAATCCCTCCTGTAAACTACGGCAGATAAGCTTTAAAGCAAATAGCATTTCGTTGGATATCTCTCTTTACATTCGACTCTCTAAAAACGCGATTTCTACATGGTCCTTTTTCCCCCTCTCTTCTACGACAAAAAAGCGGTTAATCCCTGGGGTACTTGCAGGTACTCAACGGAAACGAAACGTAACATCATATCCGGAACCCGCTTCCCAATCCTGGATGATTTCCAAAATCACATTTATGACACATGCTTTAGAGGGGTATAGGAGGTCACATAGGGCAAGTGACCCCCCCCCCCCCGGGAATGACGAAAAGGAGGGGAAGAGAGAAAGAGGGAGAAGGAAATTGGAGAGGGAGGTGGGGGGGGGGGGCAAAGTGAACAGAAGATGACACGCCTTCTAACACACCCTGTTCTTACTATATAATGAGATAACGATGACCTTAATGATATACTTATAGGAAGAGTGCGATGCCCCACCCCCATGAAATTAATCTTCCGCATAAATGCTGAAGCTAGTTATGTCATTGATGACACATACAACATCACTACCTCGTATCCTATACTTCTTCAATTTCTTACAAATTTGTCTAGCTCTAGTATTCTTCGTTCTATCTATATATTCCTCCTTGTACAGTCGAAATGTATGCTGAATGTGCTTTGTACTGCAGTAAGGTTATGCAACTTTGATTGCGGAACCTTTGTGTAAAGAGATTACATAAGATTGGACTCCCCAATTCGATGGAAATGTGATCGTGTAACTGCAGCCCTAAGCTTTGCCTAGCCTCAGCGCATACTCGTCAGTATTCTTCGAATATCTACACTGTCGCTCATAAAGGTGGAATATTTTAGTTTTACCCCAATTTATGGAATTATTTTAAAAATTATTTAAAAATAATAGATCTAGATAATAGTGTATATTCTCAGATTTTATTGAATAATAATTTGCTAATGTGTGTTTTGCGGGACTGCTAAAGCATGTGTATGCTACTATGCTTATTAACTAGGGGACTTACGCCCTAAAGTCATAAATGACAGTAATGAGGATTAATGCCCCACAAAAGGGCACTAATATAGCACATCGACACGGTTTTGATCCTGGGGCCTCACAGTTACGAGGCCATTGTTTTGTCACTGAACCATGACTGTACGCAGCGGGGGCTAGGGTAGGGGGCAGGTTCCATAAATATAAAAAAAAACAGAAAATGCAATAAATTTTCAATAATTTATTGCATTTTACCCCGGTCCCCAACATAAAAAAAATCCTCTGGACGGCCATGCATTATGGCTCAAGGCATGGACACACAAAAGATTTTTTTATGTTGGGAATCGGGGTAAAATGCAATAAATATTTGAAAATTTATTGCATTTTCTGTGGGTTTTTTTATTTATGAAACTGCCCCTACCCTAGCCCCCGCTGCGTACAGTCATGGTTCAGTGACAAAGTAATGGCCTCGTAACTGTGAGACCCCAGGATCAAAACCGTGTCGATGTGCTATATTAGTGCCCTTTTGTGGGGCATTAATCCTCATTACTGTCATTTATGACTTAAGGGCATAGGTCCCCTAGTTGATAAGCATAGTAGCATACATATGCTTTAGCAGTCACGGAAAACACACATTGGCAAATTATTGTTCAATAAAATCTGAGAATGTATACTATTATCTAGATCTATTATTTTAAAATTATTTTTAAAATAATTCCATAAATTGGGATAAAACAAAAATATTCCACCTTTATGAGCGACAGTGTATATTAAGTTTAAATGTTCATATTTTAATCAATCGTTATGTTTTAAAACAAGAAGAACTGCAATCTAAATAAGCTATTAAAAGAATTACTCATCATCCCCTCAAAAAATGCAATGAAATGAAATAGTTTTGAACTCTGGTACAAAAGGACAAAAATAGACATTTATTTCGTACAGAGTCAAGACTGTTGAAAGACACGGATAAATAATAGCCAATCTGCCAAACGTCGATGTACTAGCAAAGCGAGATGTCAGATGGAAATATCGCGTCCATCACTAGTAGAATATGTATCCGATCTCTACAAGCTCGAATATTCAGACAACGGTTTCACTTTAAATTATGCTTGAATGTTAAAGGTAATAACAACAAACAAACAAAAACTAATTAAAGCATCAACATAATTATCAACGAAAACCCCTCTGATAGTATAAATAAAATACTTATTTGTTGATGATGATAATAATAGATGAATTAAGAAATTGAAATAGGAAATTTGTTGTCACTTTTGGTCATGTTCCATGGTCCCGTCCATCCGATTGGGGCGAGTTTGGTGGCCACCGCTTTGTAGGCCGAGGTGAGTTCAGGTCCCTCTTCGAACCTGTCGCGCTCCATGAGCGCCGCATCGTTGTCGTCGACGTCCGTGATGAACTTCGTGCAGCTCTCGTAGAACTTCAGCAGGAGGTCTTTCCCTTCAAGCTCGTGGTCAACCGCTACGGTTTCAGTGTTCGCCGTCGAATTCGCCGTCGAATTGAATGTACACGTCAACGTGTCCTGTTAATAAAATCGTGAAGAAAAATACTATAGAACAAAAAGATTGCAACTATTTTCGAGAAAACCACTCGAGGATAATTTCTTTGCATGTCCCATAGATATTATGTTTGCATATTTTAGTAGGTGACGCAAAGGCTATTGAAATCGCCTAAGGATGATTTTTCGAAGTAGTTGGTATCGTGTTTCAACTGAATCATTGCAGAAAACTTAAATTCACATGCACAGTTTGACAATAAGAAGCATTAAACAATTTTTGTCTTCAAACACATCGGAGCTGGGGAAAAGTTAATAAGAGATACAACGTTGTTTAAAGTTTTAAACCATATGGTTTTAAGCGAAGAGTATTTTGTGTACAGTAATTAAATTCTTAGAATAAAAATTATGAATATTTCTTGGACTACAAAATGTTCAAATTGTTAAATTGTTTAGTGCAATTTTAGTAAATTGAAGCGACAAATAAACAAACCTTGTCAAAAGTGGTCCTATTGGAATAATTTTAAGACAATGACACAATAATGATATCTGTGTAGCATTTACATAGCCGCGAAATATATGATAACGAAAACAAACTGAAACTAGGTACGTAACTTCTAGTTGGGTCTCCATGTGAGTTGAAAGATAAGTTTATAAGTTTATTAAAACGTTTTCAGGATCTACATGTTCTCAACCAATGTAAGCAGGGGTTGTGCAAGCTGGCACCACCCCTATTTCTCAATATTGATGGGTTTTTTCCTAACTTGAAACATGCAGTCGCACAAACAAGCTATCTCATGATTTTATCAGTACTAACAACCTGCTGGGCACCGGAAAACAATCTTTAAAATCAGTTAATTTCAATATCCGCTTTTAAATTTACATCGCCCCCCCCATACTTATAACGTTAGTCTTCTAAGCATTGACTATCACATGCTTTTTTACGAGGAGCGATTTATTACTTCAACTGTTAATAGCCCATCCCTGGAAACATTTAAAGCTCAATTTAAACAAAATAGATAAATTTGTCCACACGCAATGCGCTTCTCTCATCACAAAGTTAGCGTGGATGTGTCTCGAGAGGACATTTTGCTGACCAAACCATATAGATACAGATGCAGATAACTCTTCCCGAGTATGTTCATTTACGATTATTGTAATACACTTTAAGAAATGAATACTGTCTTGTTGATATTACCTGAAATAATTGTTTAATCCTCGTTTGGGCCACATCTTCCTATCTTAATATGATTTCGTGTAGCATGGTGTTATCATTATATTCGTATCTTATGTTAGTATATGATAATTTTGTTCCATTACTTTGTAAAACAACAAATAACCAATTCATTAGCTGCATTGTTCCCTTTAATAAAGCTTTGAATTTAATTTTAGTATAGGCCTATATTGTATTGAGTGAAACGAAACTGTTTTAATGACTACGGTAGTAAAAATAATATTGTACAAAGGTGATTTCCGTTAATACATGATGATTTTGTTCCATTACTTTGTAAAACAACAAATTACCATTTCCTTAGCTGCATTACTTCATGCATTTTGTATATGTTTATGTTTAATGATGCTGTCTATTATATGTATGAATGTATCTAGTATATTTATCCTTTTATATGTCATTAATTTTGTTTCATGTTACATGTACAATGCCGTATTTTAACCATCATACCCTGTAAATGACCTGCAATTCAGCTTCGGCTGCCAGAACGTCATGTGAATAAAACCTTTATTGAATTGAATTGAAGTGATTATGACCATTCAGTTTATTCTTGATAGATACCGTCTATATCTTCTCATAACTTTATATATTTTAAATAATTGTTTAATTTAATGATTACTTGTACTTGCAATAACTGGTTCAACATTTATTATCATCCATCTATTATCATTTTTTATATATGTATATAACTTTAGGTATGAACAATAATTTTAACTTTATCTTTTATCATTTTTATTATACATTTATATGATCATTCCTGTTTTTATGCACATTTTATGTAAACATTGCATTATTGGTCCATGGACTACTGCATTGTACATTGTTTGTATATGTTGATATTAATAAACCGAAATTGAATTGAATTGAATTGAATCATCCTAAAGAGGCAAAGAGATTGATGAATAACGTTATGAGAAAATATAAACTTTATCTATCAAGAATGAACCATGTTGATACAATCACTTCATAAGTGGAGAAGAAATAAAAGAAAAATGTATTCCAACTTTAAAGTTGACAGTGTAATTATTTAGATATATAATGATATTGGTATTATAGTGGTCGCTTGTAGGCCGGGAGTGTTCATCTCCACTAAGCATCGAGTGCTTATGGGTTACCATCAAAATGGTATTATTCAACATTCCTGGGTTGAGAGAGACAAAATCATGTCTTGCCAAATAGTGCCGCTGATCGGTACAGCAAGTGTTAGGATTGCATGAGTGAACTTACCCTTGTAGGTGTTTTGCTAGAGAAGGAACAATTAGCTGTCGGACCTTGGAGACCGTTGATGAAACCTTGTGCGCTGTCGACGGTCCGTTGTCTATACGTGCCCTGGAAGTCGAACCCGTCGAGGCCATCTTTGACGAAGAGTTCCGGCAGACGTTGCTTGATCCTCATACCCAACCCTTCCATTTCAGCGAAGCCGGCAGGGTGGAGCGAACTTTCGAGCGCTATCGGGTAGAGGTTGTCGGTGATGTTGAGCAGGTAGGCGAACTCCTCGCTGACGCCGGTCATTTTCATCCTCGCCAAGATGGCATTGTAATCCTCGATGTCGCTATCACTCGCGTACCGCATCCCGTGGCGGTTGACGGCGTACACTCCCACGGGCTTGCAGCCCGTTACCGAGGCGCTCTCCCCGACATCGCTGGCTATGGTCTGCCAGTCCCTCAACCGCTGGTTCTTTTCGTCGGTCCCAGGTTCGAAGCTTGTTTCGTAGCCGGTCTTCGTGCTGTAGCGTGCTGTTGGACCTTGGCCGTAAACGCAGACGACAACGGTGATTAATATTGCCAGACGATGCATTTTTGCTAATTGTTGTTCTCGCTCTCTAGGATCAGCAGAAGAGTGCTTACGTCGAGTATCCTCTGTATTATTGAACAAACATGCTCTGACTGTCTCGACCTTTGGAATAATCAGGGCAGCGTTAAACTAGTGAAGTTGTCTATAGTTCGCCCATTAAAAGCGAGCGTAGCAAATTTAACACACGTTTCAGTAGGATGTCCGTGAACTTGTTATGACGTCGGTTTCGTGAAACAATGCGTTCGCTGGATGCTCTTATAATCTACATATCCTGTGATTCCTGTCGAGAACGACTGTGAGCTATGTTACCCAGCAAGAAGGTATAAGCATTGTCTAATTAAACAGCTGACATATTTTGAATGACGGGAACAGCGAAGGGGGACATTACTATTGTAATTTGCTGAGCTCAGCATGTAAGATTACATTGTTGTTGCTAATTGTTATTTGGCACTTTTTGGCAGTATCTTTGCGCCCAGGGGCGTCAGAAGTTGGGGGGGGGGGGGGACAAAACGTATCTTTGCCCCCGCCCCCTGAAAAAAATCAGCGGTAAAGGATTAAATATTTGTATTATTTAACCAAAAATAAAATAAAAAGTAATAACAAACATGAATTGAATCACAACTAATCAGTAATTAAATTTTCTAAACATTCCGCATACCCCTAAATTAATCAATAGAGAATTTGATAATTGCCCTACGCGCATTCATGTATCGTGGAAATATTGTTAGAGGATGGTAAAGCGTGTTTTTTTTTCTCAAGGGCCTTAACCCTAAAAAGGGCGGACAATTTGAGGTCTTAATACGGCCGGGGGTGGGGGCATTATGCCCCCTCAAGATCTCGGCCTAGGAAGGTTCAATTAATGTGAAAATTAGGATGGTGATAGATTGAAGTATATTGAATAAGATGGAAATGTTTATTTTCTTTTATGTTTTTTTTTTTAATTAATATTTTTATGACAATATGCACATTTTGGGGGGAAATATTCTTACACACTCACATTTGTGAGAATTACATATTTTTATAGACATGTGATAATATTTTGTCGCCTAACACCCGAACCATAGATCCGCCCATATCCAATTTGGTATCAAAATGTGTGGGAGACACGAGGGAAAAACTCATGAAATTTCAGCGTATATGGCGTTAACAAGTATTTGCCGTGCTACACCCCCCCCCCTTTAACTGGCATAACCCCCTCGGAGCTTCATGTGGCTCAGCCCCCTGGACCCCACGCCAATTAGTGAACTACCAGTATCGCAAATAAGGTATCTAAATACGCTAATCTAACTATTATTGATTGCCTAAATCTCCTAAGTTTTGTGGGGCTCCCTGATCCCCGCCGGGGCAAAACCCCTGGACCCCACACTCACTTCGCTCCCTACGCTATACCTGATCGTTATTACTCCACTTTGAAAAACGTTCCCTGGGGTCTGCATGTTACATATGAGAGTGGTGGTGATGCAGATTTTGTTTTCTGCCCCCAAACGTTTTTGCTCATTACGCCACTGCCCCTGAAATGTTCCCCCCCCCCATCCCAAACTGCTTCCAGTGCGCCTGTTTGTGCCTACATGGGCGCCGGGAAAACACCAGCATGTTTAAAGAGCCTGGAAAAGGTTGGTGCTTTTTTTTACCCTATAGCTCCGCCCCCTTTTTACCAGTTTCCAGAAAGCATGTCTACAGTGCATGGTGATGTGAATGTGTGGAGGCGTCTGTTTAATTATGAGCGTTTCATAATGTTGTCGTAAGAAAATCAAGTCATTGGGGGGGGGGGGGGGGGGGGTCATTAGCTGGTAGGGCCGTGGGGGCACCAGTCTTAGGCAGATGAAATGATAATGTACAAGATCATCTTTAGGGGTATAATATTACGGGGAATATAATAGTATGAGAGGATCCTAACTTCTTTTTGCATTAGCCCTTTCTGCCCTTTCCTTTTCTTGTTCTGCTTTATATCGCTCAGTTTTTTTTTTTTTTTTTAGTAATTGAGTATAAAGGGATGGGGCATATGCAGGCGCGTACGCAGGGGGGGGGGGGGTGTTTGGGGGTTAAACACCCCCCTTTGGTATTTTTATGTGTATAAACCCCCCTAAAAAATTATTCCCATGGCTGACCTAAAAAAGGCGACCTTACCCCCCCCCCCCCCCCCAACGGAGCAAAATGTCAAATTTTCAAATTTCGAGACCAAAAAAAAAGAAGAAAAAAGTGTCCTCTTACCCCCCCCCCCCCCCCCCCCCACGCTTATTGAGCGCGGCCGGCTGAGTCGATGCGATAATTTTCGGCCCGATTTAAAAATGTTAACCCCCCCCCCCCCTTGAAAAAATCCTGCGTACGCGCCTGGGCATATGCATCCATGGCTGTCTTCAATGTACATATGGGAGATATTTCTGTATTTAAAAAAAAAAATCGTTTACTCCAATACTAGGAATTGCAAAAAAAAGTATTTCTTGGCATTATGTCACTATGAAGCTGAATCATACACAAAGATTGAGTCACCACACATGCAGGGAAGGGGCAGGGAAGGTTACGGGCGGGGTTCAAAATCTGAAATCATTCTAGGAGTGAAACAGATATTGCAAAAGGAAAACCGCCCACTGTTTCCATTTCTTTGTTTTTATGCGTTCGGGTTATACCTACTTCAATCAACAGACTTCTCCTTCTCCTTCTCCTTTCTCTCGTCTCCTTCTCCTTTCTCTCTTCTCCTTCTCCTTTCTCTCTTCTCCTTTTTAATTTCCATCTTATATTATTCTTCTCCTTCTTTTTCCCTTCTTCTTCCCGTTCTTCATCGTCATCTTCTTCTCCTCCTCCTCCTCCTCCTCCTCCTCTTCTCGTCTACTTCTCCTAATTCGCTATTTTATTTCCTTGCATTTTTTTCTCAACTGCTTATATATATAGTTGATTTCCAAAGATGGTCCAAAGTTTACATGCAATATGTAAAAGGCGTTGTGATTCTTTGTCATTTTGCAAACTTTGAAGTGAGAGGTTTTTTTTTTTTTTTTTAACGTCAACTGTACTCCTCCTCCTCCTCTTCATCTTCTTCTTTTTCTTCTTCTTACTCCTCCTCCTCTTCTTTTCGTCATCTTTTTCCCTTTCCTCCTTCTTCCTTTTTTCCCCTTCCTCTTCTTCTTCCCTTTCCTCCTTTTCCTCTTCTTCTTTTCTTCTTCTTCTTCTTCTTCTTCTTCTTCTTCTTCTTCTTTCTTCTTCTTCTTCTTCTTTTCTTCTTCTTCTTCTTCTTCTTCTTCTTCTTCTTCTTCTTCTTCTTCTTCTTCTTCTTCTTCTTCTTCTTCTTCTTCTTTCCCTTCGGTTTTTTCCTTCTCACTTGCTTTTACTTGATTGCCAAAGATTTATTCAGATGTATGCGCCCTTGCATACAATATACCCTTGATCTAACCTGGTACAAATGCGCTGTAACGTAGATGGCACTGTGATTCTTTGACATCTAGCAAAACTTTGAAGCCGCAATTTCTTCCGTCAACTGTACTCCGTTATCAGCTTTTTGATAAAAAGACAATACTGACAAAGGAAATGGAAATCAGGCAGGAAATGGAAGAATTGAGCAATTTGTCAATTTATCAAGCTAACATAAAACTTATATTCCCCAAAGATATCAAACTTCATTGTACCTTTATGTATCAATCATGTTGCCGAGGACTATATATTTTATGATAGGTAATTCAACCTGTGGTCACTCATTTTATTGATCACTTATGAATTGTTTTCTAGTGGTTTATCAAGGGGAGGGGGGGGGGGGGGGCTAGTATCCCCTTGCCTAATCCATCTAGCATATATTCTAAGTACATAAACGTTCATAATCTCTCCCCTTCTCTTGACCTTCTTTTGTCGATCCACTCAATTTGCTTTCTATTTTCTCTTCTCCTTTCCTTTTCCACCTCCACTCTTTCTCTCTCTCTTTCACTATCTCTCGTCTCTACACCAAACACTTCACTCACACTTCTCCATGATACAACACAATAAATAATACTTTCACAAAATTTCTTGACTTAAGACACGCCACTTCTTTTAATAGTCTGCATAGTTGAAAACCAGGAAAAATGCATAAGGCAAAAAATGGTCACAAACTATTTTCGTGTTTTCAGCTGAGCTAAAGTTATCCCACACAGTCAAGAGAAAAAATCAAACCAGATAAAACAAAATTATCGGATTGAAGAGAAAAATAGAAATAATAATTCTCTATTTTACATGATTGTATATCACATCTCACACCCAAATTGTACTGATCACTTTTCAGTACATTATTTCATCTACTTTGAGATAATATCTCAAATTTCTTTTTTTCGTATTGCACTTATTTTTTCATTTACATTTCCTTTTGCCATCTTAGCAAATGAACTAATCACATAAGAAATATATGAAGCATACAATCATTGAGAGAGAGACTTACTGCTAGACATATATGTTCCCATTGCCTCTGATTTGCATACATAAGTGGTACAAATGTGCACAACTCCTATGGGTTGTGTACACAGTACTGCATGCAGGACCTGTGTTTCCTATTTGCATGGCAAACCAATTGTTTATGCATTATACATTAAAACAACACCAAATAAGTTCAGATTCTTGTAACAATGGGGAAAAGGGCTCCACTTCAGACAGACAATATTTATCTTGCTTAAAAATCATCATAGCTGCATTCTCTTAAATAAAGTATATGATACGATTTAAAGCTGCATGAAAATATCTCCTTAAATGGTTAAATATAAGCATTTCTCTTAGAGGTACTATGTGATGTTTGAAAGTTTTTTTGTTTTTTTCCTGTGGTTGAAGTTTACATACATTGATCATGAACATACATGTAACAGCAGGGTGGACTATGACTTTACTTAAAGGTCTAGTTTGCCAACATCGGTGCAAACATTTACATTTCATTTCACTAGGTGTTTTTCCTGCCCCTCTTATTTTTGCTGCTCTTAGCTACTTTGACTTTCTCGAAAATAATCAAGTTAATTGGAACCTTTAAAAGATAATATCATAGGAAGGAACATGCAACTTCAGCTCCAGATTACACTGCAACTAAATGCACAAGCTGCTAACACAGTTACTTCCCACTCAAGGGTTTAAAAAAACAAAAACACAACAAATATACGCAAAAAAAGGCACATGCTACATTTTGACGCTCAGCAAGATCACATCTTAGAACAATCGGAAAAGCTAGTACTTTACTGAAACAGAATGATAACATAATAACATAATGTTATTATGTTATGACTTTGCCTATACGTTTTTTGGAGACATCATTGTCATACGTTAACGGAAGAATTTATTTTTACAAAGAAAACAAATGAACCTGGAATTCTAGGTTAAAGATTTTCTGACAGCATGGCTAAAAACTGTTATTATTATAATACGTTACGCAGA